AAGAGAGAACCTGTCCGCGCATGCCTGTAGTCCCAGCTACTCAGGAGGCTGAGGCAGTAGGATCGCTGAGCCCGGAGATTGAGGTTGCTGTGAGCCAGGCTGACGCCAAGGCACTCACTCTACGCTGGGCAACAAAGTGAGACTCTGTCTCAAAAAAAAAATTCCTGTCTGGATCGATCAGTGGCCCCTCCCGTCTAACAAGCTAGCCGCAGCTACAGCGTTGGTGCAGGAACAATTAGCTGCCGGACACATAGAGCCCTCTACTTCACCATGGAACACCCCCATTTTCATCATTCAAAAAAGGACTGGCAAATGGCAGCTGCTACAAGACTTACGGGCTGTTAACCAAACAATGGTTCCCATGGGAACACTCCAGCCTGGTTTGCCTTCACCCATAGCTATCCCCAGAGGCTACTATAAAATAGTCATTGACCTGAAAGACTGCTTTTTCTCCATACCATTGCACCCAGATGACTGCAAACGCTTCTATAGGACCCTCTCCGAGCTTCCAATGGTGAGTATTGCCTCAAGGCATGGCCAACAGCCATACCCTTTGCCAAAAATATGTGGCTCAGACAATTGATTCTTTTAGAATTCAACATCCTCAGCTATATATAATTCATTATATGGATGACATTCTTTTCGCCGGAGCTGACGAGGCAACCTTACTTCAAGTTACCATGCAGGTTGTCTTGGCCTTACAAGCTCGAGGCCTCCGCCTGTCCCCTGAAAAAATTCAGGTCCGCCCCCCTCACCTGTTCTTAGGCTTTGAATTGTTCCCCAATAAGGTCCTCTCTCAAAAGGTACAAATCAGAAAAGACTCTCTTCAATGCCTTAATGATTTTCAGCGCCTTCTAGGCGACATTAATTGGCTTCGCCCATATTTGAGACTCACCACAGGACAGTTGAAATCCCTATTTGACGTCCTGCAGGGAGATGCCGATCCAACCTCTCCACGCTCCCTAACTAAAGAAGGGCAGCAAGCGCTTCTTAATTTGGTGGAGCAGGCCGTAAACGCCCAGGCCATTGGCTACTTCTCCCCCGACTCTCCCTTGTACTTCATTGTCCTCCCTACCCCCTTTTCGCCCACGGGACTCTTCTGACAGGGCAAGCCCCTTTTTTGGGTTCACCTATCGGCTTCCCCCCCTAAAGTCCTTCCCACCTACCCTTACTTAGTAGCTAAAATTATTCGCTTGGGGCGAGAAAACTCCCTTAAGCTCTTTAGAAAAGATCCAGATATCATAATACTCCCTTACAATGCTTCTCAAATTCAATGGCTAATACAAAATGATGATGACTGGGTGGTTAACTGTACGTCTTTCCAGGGCAAACTAGATAATCATTACCCCCCTGATAAACTAATTCAGTTCCTCTACTGGACACCAGCGAACTCAGATAGAGCCTAGAGACCCATGATGGCCTAACACTTAGCCAAGTCACAGGCCTAGGCCTTTGCCTTCTTGGCCCAAGGATGCTTCCCCCCGCACCCTTAGAGAAAATATGCAATCAGTCAATTACTGTCAACTCCACCTTTCAGTATACTCAGGCACCTAATATCTCTTATTTTGCTTGTTCTTCTGGCCTTACCCCGTATGTAGTCACTGCAACGTTTCTTGAGCATAGAGAATATTGTGTGTTAGTCATGCTCTTCCCCAGACTCACTGTACATCCTGCTGACGAAATGCTCAAATTTTGAGAGCGAGGCGCCACAATGCCCCGAGAAAAAAGAGAGCCCATCATGGCCATAACACTCGCAGTTGTTCTAGGCCTTGGTGCCACAGGGGCTGGAACAGGCACAGCCTCTCTAGTCACCTCCAACCAGCAATACCTGCAGCTCTCTGCTGCCATTGATAATGATCTCCGAGAGCTACAGCAGGG